CTTTGTTACAGAGTAATGAAAACAAGAGGACTAACAATGGACTATGCCAAACTTGCTAACGGAGAACAAGAAGCAACTCCTAGCACGTCAAAAGTAAGTAAACTGAAAAAAAATTGTTATTATAATTGCATACCTTATTAATTGTACTTTCTATTATTATTTTTCTAGCAATCAGATGCTTATCAATGCATCCACCAGCCATTTCTACCAGATACCGACTCAACTGACTCCGATCAACAAAAACCAAAAAAGAAATTGCAAGAATCTGATACAGATTCAGCAGAAGAATCATTACTAAATGGTAATCTCATTCCAGTTGAGAATATTAAGCAAGAACCCACTACAGATGATGAAAAAAACAAAAACTCCACTAACAAGAAAAAAAATTTGTAAAAAAAAATCAGGTACACATATAAAATAAGCTACATCTACATTACCGTCATGTGAACTTATTTTCGCTTTGCACGCTAACATTGTCCAAACCTAAAATTACGTTTTAAACCTACAATGCTGTTGCAAGATTCACTGTAGCTTACAATGAATTTACAATAAGCTTCTGTGAACTCTACAACATCATATTAACATTTTAAACAACAGCAAAATCATTGCTCAGTATTAAAGTAGCACCACATGACGGTACATGACGATAAATTTTAAACTACATATCAATGTAACTATGTACCTAAAAACTAATTACTTTCTAGACAATAACGAAAAAGAAGAGCAAAAAAGAATTGGAAAAAGATACAGCTGATGAAAAGTTCTCTAAAGTAGTTGAATCAATTCTAAACAAAAGTAAAGAAAAACAGGAGAATTCTATGCTATGTACATCTGCAAATACTGAAGCTACATCAAAGAAGATCAATGAGAAAAAAATGAACAAAAAACTGATAAAGGTAATATCATGATGAATTTATTGTCAATGAAGCTCAAGCTAAATCATAATTTGTTCTAAGTACTGTCAATGACTACTTAAACAGATTTCAAAACAGCTTTAGCTTTAGTTCTCGTTTCCCAAATCAATTTTTTTATAGCAAGTGATAGTGTAACTTGAGGGATCCTTCACTTGGCGCAGTCCGTGTACACTTGGTAATCCAATCAGATTTACAGTCCCTGCAGTTTCCTTACAATCTTTACAATTTTTACAATCTTTGCAGTCTCTACAGTCTCTAAAATATGTTTACAGTATCTGCATCACATAACAGTCCCTTACAGTCCCTAACCAATCCTTTAGTATCCCTTACAGTCCCTTACAGTAACTTACAGTCTCTAACAATCTTTGATGCAGTCACTGCAGTCCTTTTTCAGTTTCTAACTAATCACCCACACTATCGAATAATCGTCTCAATATTTACTGCCCTAATAATGATTTTTCCCTTCAATCTTACTCTCCTCTTGCTCCAGTCTCGCTTCAGTCTTGATCAAGTCCCTTCAGTGTAACTCCAGTCTTCTGATTAGCAGTCCCTGTACACATTTTCTCCTAGTGAATAACCCCTCGGTGTAACTTCAGCTTTACTATATTCACTGACACGAAATTCTTCATATAATATGTCTCACTTTCACTCTACATTAATATATGTTTTAAACAGGAAGACGTAATCTCAATTTCATCAACAACGGGAGAAAGTGGATCTGATGAAGACATAATTGTCACTAAAAGTAAAACTCAAAGGAAAAAAAAGAAGAAAACATCAAAGAAACATCAGAAATCATCATCAGATGATTCAACTGATTCAGATGATTCAGATGATTCTACTGATGAATCAGTGACAACAAATACAAAATCAAGATCTTCAAAAAATGCAAAAATTGTAAAGAAAGATTCGTCTAATGGAATTCAAAAAATAATAACAAGTAAAGGAGAAAAATCAAAAGAGGTACATATAACAAGAAAATTTTCAAACAAATCTATATTACAACTTTTCATTTATATTATTTTTAAATTTTCAGACAAAAAGAACACAATTAGTATCAGAATCAGATACTGATACAGATGATTCTGATGATACAAGTACGGAAAATGAAAAAATAAAGCATAAATCACTTACAAAAAAGGTAAAATATTCTACTATAGAAAGTTTCTTGACTACAAGTTGCACCTGAACGTTGTACTGACAACGTCTTATAACATCTGCCCAACATATTTCAGGACAAACCAACGTCTGAAAAAGATGAAATGAAGAAAACTAACAAGAAGAGAAAGAGACCTCAAGCCCCTTCTTCTTCATCATCTTCAGCAGATGAAAGTAGTAACTCAGATGAATCAGAAAAAATGACAAAGAAACAATCAAAAAAGAAGGTAAAATTACTTCACTTACTTTATCTACATAAATAACATGAATAACATTGTTTGTTTTACATATAGATTCATAAAAAAAAACAAGAAATCACAATCATCAACTTCTGAAAGTGATAGCAGTACAAACAGTACCTCAACAGATGATAATAAAGAAGATAACAACAAGAACAAGGTACAATTATATTTTACTATACCGTAAAATGGAGAAACTTTAGCTCACCACGGTAACTTAGCCCACAGCTTAAAAACGCTCATACAATGCAACAGGATTCACTGTAGCTTACTGTGAACCATGCAGTAAGCTACAGTGAACTCTTCAGTAAGCTACAGTGAACCCTGCAGCACCTTATTAGCATTTTAAAAACAATTTTAAGCCATAGGCAAAGATACCCCAATGAGTCAAAGTTACCACAAGTAACAATAGCTTTCTGTTCCAATTAATGCTATTGTTTACAATATAAGTCTCTAACTACTTATCACTAATTATTTACAGAAAAACAAAGATGATTTTGAAGAACTGAACAGTTACACCAAACTTACATGTAGAGACCTTAAACTTAAAAGACCATATAAATTAATGGATATTAAATGGTCAAAAGAAGCTGGAAGAAATGGACCATATAAAATCTGTACAGCAAAGTTATAGTACAAATCAAAATTGTTCACTGTGAAGATGCCAACACCCTTAGCAAAATATGAAAAAAAAACAAAGAGAATTACTTAAATCAAAAATAAAGAAGAAGAAAAACCCAATCTTCACAGTCAACAAGATTACACAGAAGAAATCTCCAAACTTTAAAGGAAAATATGATTTTATAGAATCAGAGTGGTCATAAACAGACACAACAAAACAATCATTCGTTGTTAGCTATTTATAAATTTTTCAGTTACAGGACTTCTCAACTGGCGTCAAATGCTTCATTATTTCTTGTATGTGGACATGTACAATCATCAAAACACCAAGACACATTAAGTGTGTTATCATTTGTTTATCCCAGTCGACAAGCCTTAGTCCTAAACACATCCCGGGTACGACCTAGTTGGGACGCGGGATGTCCCAGCTGGGAGGTCCACCAGTACTACCGAATGCGACTCCAGTCTGGCCCTGAGCGAGTGATGGGGACATCCCACCAGGACCTCCCATTGAGACACTTGTGGGAGCTTCTGATAACCACCTTTCAAGAATGTTCTCGGCTACTACTCCCGGTAGATAGTATTATAGGACATTTTCCAAATTATATTTATAAACTGAAAATATTTTTTCTTTTGTTGAATGATTCTTCACCTGGGTTTATTTATGGTATTCGTGCACACATTACAGTTATATTCAAGTAATTAACAATTAATGATGTAATGAAATACCTTACTTTACCGGGAGTTGAACCGGCGACCTCAGGGTTACTGGCCGACCACGCTGCCCACTGGGCCACGGAGACGAGATAGGAGGACGGCTTGAGGAACAGGGTGTCATGCCACGGGGTGCCGGGCACCGCCCAGACCTCCCGGGGACCACCTGGGGACCTCCCCAGGACGTTACTGGGCTGCGACGACGTCGCGCCGACTTGGCGTAGGCGCAAATTATAATACTGCTACTAACATTTTATTGTGCATTTTTTAAAATGATGTTTTGTTTATTTATTTCGTTTTCCACAACCCTTCCTACTTTAATCCTATTTGAATTTTAGAAACATCCTAACTTTCACAGTTTCAGTTCAGTGTGAACTTTTGTTCTTATTTAGCAAAACAATACACTTCATTACCTCTTTTGCTTAAATAAGCCGTCAGAAATTGGTAGCTACATAAAATTCTGCTCGCTCGAGAACATAGTAAGCCGAACCTTTAAAGGATGCCCTTCGGGGCAGTATCGTTGGGACATTCTGTGAAAGCTCCCACGTCTTATGTCTTTGCAAAAACATGCTGGGTAGAACCCCGCTGTTGCGCCCCTCTAGCAGCACATTGGCAGGTCCACCTGAGGACGTACTTGGATGGTATGTCTTGTCTGGGAACGT